GGAATGGAAAGGGGAATTTTAAGGGCAAGGTGGCCAGTTAGAAGCCTATTTTCATAGTGTAGTTGAAAGATAATGAAAAACCTAAACAGGGCATTATGGTAGGAGTAAATTTGGAGGAATCAGAACCACTGGGATTATTTAAATATGGAGGATGAGAGAGATTGTTCAAGACCTAGAATTTGTAGCTGAGTGGGAGAACAATTGGGCAATAACTGAAATGGATAATACAGGAAGAAGAACAGGTTTGGTGGGGAAGGTGACAGTCTGGATTTTGGACATTGTTAAAATTGAGGTAGATATCCACATGGGGTTACCTAGCAAGCAGTCAGAAATGAAAGTCTAGAGTACAGAGAGAGGTCAGAAATAGAGACAAAAATTTGGGTATGATTCACAGAGTCATTCATTTGTTATGCAAATATTTGTTCAGTGCCTACTAGCTGCTTACAGGAAGTTTGTATAAAAGCCCTTTAAACTCATAGTAAAGACAATCTCAGAGCTTCACAGTATCAGAAATGACTCTTGGGAGACCTAAATTCCATATGAATTACCTACAATACTTTGCCAGGCACTCGGTGATGGGTTCTGGGTTCTGGGAGATATAGTAGTGAACAAGACAGGTTAGTTCTTGCCTTTGTTTATGGAGCTTACAATTTAGGGGGTAGCCAGACAAAAAGTGAATACTGTATCAAAACAAAAGAATTAGAAATTGTGGTAAGTGCTGTAATGGAGACAGCAGAGATAGAAAATAAAAGTGGGGGTATGAGGAACCTTCCTTGAATAAGGTTATCAGGCAGAGTGTTTCTGCATGAGTTGATAGTTAAGTAGAGCCCTGAAGAATGAAAAAGAGCAATGGAAGAGAAAGCATTCCTAAGTAGAGGAAATGATGTGTGCAAATCCCTAACATAGGAAAGAGCTTAATATGTTCAAGGAACTAAGGGAGAGTCATCTGGCTGGAGCTTGAATGGAGGCAGGAATGGATCATATAGGTCCTTATAGGCCAGGATAAGGAGTTTGGATTTTTTCTAGATGCATTGGGAAGCCACGTGAAAAGCAATGTGAAAATTCACATTTTAAGATGATATTAAGTGATGTGAAGAGAATGGAGGGAGGCAAAGTATAGAAGCAGGGAGACCAGTTAGGAGACAGTAACAGTACTTTAAGGCAAGGTTGATGGTGGCCTGGAGTAGAGTAGTGGCAGTAGAGATAGAAGTAGGTGGATTTGCGATCTCTTTTGGAGACAGAATCAAGTCCAGATTTGCAGCTGGACTGGATACTGGGAACAAAGGAAAGAAAGTAATAAAAGTGACTTCTAAATGGGGTGAATGGTGATCCTCCCTTGAGCGGAGGGTTGTGGTCAGAGGGGCTGGCAGGGGAGGATGGGAAATAGGCTTGGGAGAGAATTCATTTTGAACATGTTAAATTTGAGATATCAAAACATGAGGTAGAGATGTCAAATAAGCAATCCTATGTACAAGTTTGCAGCTCAGAGGAGATATCTGGGCTATAGATAAAAATTTTGGAGACCGTATCATTTAAAGCCATGAGTTCACTCTAGGAAGAGAGTCTATCTAGCAAGAGAAGAGGGCCTGGCCTGCAAACTATCCTGAAGAACATTAATATTTAGAGGATGAGTGGAGGAGGAATATAGGAGGTATCGAAGGAAACTGGAGGAATGGCCAATGAGGTAGGATTAAAATAAGGAAGAAGTATCTTAGAAGCAAAAGAGAGTAAGTAAAGTGTTTGAGGAAGGAGGCAGTACTTTTAAGGGAAAATATCAGTTATGACTCTGGTTGCAAATGACCAATTTACTTGAGGAGAAGAGGAATTTATGACAAGGATGTGGGCAGCTGACAGGATCAAAGGAAATGCTGAAGGCCCTGGCTTTGAAAAGGACAGGAATCTGAGCAGCCCCAGGGGGAGGCTGCTAATTGCAGTACTGGAGTGAATGGGCTGCTACAGCAGTTTTCACCTTAGTTACTTCTTTTAGAATTC